TGCCCATGCCCTAGTGCGGCCTGGGCCCAGACAAGGTGGTGATCACTGAAAGGGTTCAGCCAGATGCCAGAAGAGTTGGCCCGGGCAAAATGCGGCAAAGAGATATAAACCTGGTTCAACAGGGAGTAGTATGCCTGCTCCTCCCCCACCCTCACATAGGTGATGGCAGGGGAGTTGGTAGGGTTACAGGCACGCCAGATGTCCACCAGGGAGTAGTCCATCAGGATCTCCCCGAGGACGCCCATGGCAGCCTGGTTCTGCTCCCTGCCCAACCGGTCTTGCGCATCTGAGGTGATGTTAAAGTCCCCGCCAGGCACCAGGCACTCGCGAGGGTTGAGGGTGCTGATGTAAGTGGCTGCCTGGCAGAAAAATTCTGCCAACTCTGGGTTTCTCACAGGGGTGTACATGTTCAGAAGGTTCAGGACCAGCCCCTGCACCTGGAGCTGGAGGTGCAGCAGGCAGCCCAGCAGCACCTCAACATCCTGGAGAACCTCTGGCTGCAGGCCCGGGGAGAACAGCGGGCCACCCTGCAAGAGGTGACCAAGAGGTGACTAAAAAAGATCCTGCCTCCCCACTCCAGCTATCAATTAGGCTCATTGGCTGGAGGCACCAGGGTCTCCTGCAAGAATACCATGGGGTACCCTCCTCCTGAAGGAAGGAAAGCACCCAGCATCTCCAGAGACCCTTCCTGCAGCCGTGGATGTTGAGGGTCACGATCTTAAATGACCTCATGGCTGGGGGGGTGGGTTTAGTAGACAGTTCAGCAGGGGCCTCGCACATCTTAACGCTCACTGTGGGGCTCGTCGGCTCACGTAGCGCCCTCCCATATGTATAGAGGGCGTTTATGAAACTGAGGGCCCACATATAGATATGGGTGTTACAGCTTTTGGGCCCCTTACCTTCCCCTGCCAGTGCCCTTGCAGTGGCGAGGACACTGTCAAAATCTCCCCAGCAGTCCAAGGTGAGCTGTACCTTGCTGGCAGACCGGTGGGTGTAGTCATGGTCAAGAAATGCAAGTAGCTCACCCCTGGGGACCACCAGGACCGAGAAGTCTGCAGGCTCCATGGAGCCTGCTGGGTCTCAGGCATCCTCCTTCTGGTCCTGGGGTTCAGCAGGCTCCTTAGGCACCATCTGAACCCCTGATCTGCTAAGACCCCAGACTCTGGTTGGGATTGGGAATGCTCTGTAGTGAGGTTTTTCTCGGAGGAGGAGGGAAGAGACCCATCAGGCAATGGAGTGGCTTTGGTGTCTGACTTAGGGTCCTGGGAGAGGGGACCTCCCTCCTCAGGGCTCACCGGGGTAAGCCCCAGGGCCCCTGTCTCCCCCAGATCATCAGAAGGGGAGGGCTCTGCTGCTGGACCTTCTTCTGGGTCTCAGCCTCAGCGCCCGTGGTCTCAGCAGGTAGGCCCTGGCCAGTGGAGTGAGAGACTTCCTGCATGGGCTCCTGTTTGGGAGAGTCCAGCAGCCCCGAAGCCTCCTCTATTGGGATAACCCATTTAATCTTCCCCGGGGGTGGGGTGTCGGGCACAGCGGGGGAGGCCCCCAGAAGCTGGGCTGCTCCTTCCCCCCATGTGGTGGTCTTGGGAGGGGGGCAGGAGTCCTCCACATTAGAGGGCTCCAGCTGTGCCCAAGCCTTCCTTTTGGCTTTGCACCCAGAGGGGACCTGCACCCACTCAGCCATGGGGTGGTCCTCAGGTGGACAGGCTCCAGTAGGAGAAGGTGAAGGTTGTGGGGGGCAGCTACAGCAGGGGCATGACTAGGGGCAGGAGGCCCCTGCTCTCTCTCCCCTTGGTTGTTGCTGGTCTCCCCCGGACCGCACCAAACTTGGCTTGGGGGCAGGGTCCCCTGAGCTCACAGGGTGGCTGGATGATGTGGCTGGTGTGCCAGGAGGGGTCTGAGTGGGGAGGGGTACTAGTGGCAGGGGCACCCCTCTCATCAGTGGGACCTGCGGATGCCCTCTCCTACTGGCCCATGGGGCATTCGTGATGCAAGTGCCCTAGGGCATGGCACCAGAAGCATCACAGGTCCCCTTGGGCAGAAGGCTGGAACAGGGGTGCAGAAGCTGGGGTGCAGTGTTGGGGTGTGGTACAGTGCAGCAGATCCCTCCCCAAGGGGGGCAGTAGCAGCAGCCCAAAGCAGGAAGGGGTGCAGCCAACTTACCCCCAAAAGCTCTAAGAACAATCCAGTAGCTAGCAGTAGCCAGAGGCACAAAGGGGCCTGGCCATCTCCACAGAAGCTCCTGAGATCAAGCCTGCAGCAAGCAGCAGCAGCAGCAGCCTCGGACAGGAAGGGGCATGAGCAACACCCTCCCAGAGGCTCCTGAGGGAGGACCCCTGAGCTGCTCGCTGGGACAGGTTTTTATACTGCTGGGACCAGCACAGGTGCTGGCCCTAGCCTCTAACTCCTCCTGGCTGCAGATATAGGGGGAACTGGGCAGGGTTATTTTGCCCCGAGTGGCACAACTTGCCCCACACCAAAGTGCTTGTCTGGGCATGTGCTCGAAGCAAAAATCCCTAGCTCAAAATTTGTGCTGGTCCTATATGAGCTGCTGCAAGCACATGTGCCTGCACGTGTGGACGGGCCCTAGGAGGTCATATCTAGTTTAGCCTCTCTGCCAGGGCAATACTGTGTCATTTAGACTTGCTGGGATAGAAGGGCAGATGACTAAAGTTCACATGCATCTGCAGAGAGGAGCCACCTGCTGAAGCTATATGATGATGTAATACAGAACAAGCGCAAGCTAATCAGCACAGAACAGAAAACCTTTCTGCATGGCACTGCACACTTCTGGAAAAGTGTTATTGATTCTGAGGGTGAATATTCATTCCCAGTTCATTAGCACAGCAAAGTATTAGCAGCAGTGGTCAAAGAGCAAAAAATCACAGAATGTGGACTCCGAGTTATTTCCCTGTGTTTTGTTTGCATTATCTCTTCAGTTAATAACGGAACAGACTGTTTAGCAATTTCTGAATGCAATATGCATCAATAAGGTGTCTTGCTGGAAATGGAAGTGAGAGCAGACCTCTCCCTGGCTCCCTCTCATATGGGCTCCCTGATAAGCTTTAATTACTGAATTGACCTTGGTCTTTGTCTGAAAAAGGAACATAAGTTTGATCTGCTGGGTAATTGATGTCAGAAGTGGCTTAGCTCATTAAATGTCTAGCGTGAGGAAACTGCTTCAGTGCCCAGCATTGCCAAGTGGGCTTTAAGGAAATTAAAATCCTCAGTCTTTATAAGCAGCCTCAATGCCAGTTAGGGAACAATTCATTGACAAATCTGACATTACTAAGTTAACATATGCTCCTCTGCATCACTGGTCAGCATTAGCTAGAAGGGTTCATAAAGAATAATGCTACAGCAGGGATGGGCAAAATACGGCCCGTGGGCCACATCCGGCCCGCAAGGCCTTTCTATCTGGGCCAGAGGGCCCCTAAAAAATTTAGAAGATTAATATTGATCTGCCCTTGGTTCCTGTCAAAAATGACAGGAATCAGGGGCAGTAGGACCCAGGGGAAGCCCGGAGGGCTCCTGCAATAGCAGGGCCTGCCCACCCCCACCCCTGCTGCTAGAAGCCCCAGGAGGGGCTTTTGGCCTGGGACCATGTGGCTGCCCTGGCCCGGAAAGCTCAGGTAAGGGGTGGGGGGGGGCACAGGGGAGGACCCCAGGCAGGGAAGGGGCCTGGGGAAAAGCTGAGTCTGGGGAAAAGCGGCCCCTACCCCACCCCGCACCCAGCACTCCCTGCTGCAGCTGCTTGCAGCCCGCGCGGGGCTATCCTGAGCAGGCACAGGCAGCCCCGCACAGGCTGCAAGCAGCTGCGGAGCAGGGCACCAGGCACAGGGTGGGGAGGGGCAGCTTTTCTCCACCTATGCTCAGCACCGGCTTGTAACCCGGCCCCACAGCCAGCCTGGGCCCCGCGCCCACTCGGGGCTCGCCCGTCGGTGCAGCCCGCCTGGTGCCATAGACCCCTGCCAGCCTGCACCCTGCTCTGGGCCCCACTGGTGTTGGCCCCTGACATTGGCCCCAAGATGGTGACCAGGGGGCGGGGCTACCCATGTGGCCCTCGACAGCTTGCCAAAACTGGGTAAGTGGCCCTCCGCCCAAAATAATTGCCCGCCCCCGTGCTACAGCATTTGAAGGAGGTGCTGCTGGGATAAGGAGTCAGCAATTGGCTGTAGAAATGCTAGGGTGTGAAACAGATTTGTTATGTTCTTCAGTGAAACCAGCAGTCTGTTACTGGACATGACCAAATTACCCAATTCGTTTACATCTGTTATGTGACTTTTGTCCCCATGCAGTCCAAGGGCCTCACAAACACAGCTGCGATTATCCTCATAACCTCTCTGGAGGCAGGCAAATAGTCTTTATATTCTGGGAATGGAGAGATTAGAGAAATTATCCCAGGTCCTACAAGAGATCTGGGACAGAGCCAGAAACAGAACTCAGGCCTCCTGAGGCCTGGGAACTGAAACTGCCCTCCGCAGGGATAAGGCTAGTTTGAACACTAGACAGAACTTGCTCGGGGCAGCACCGACTGCAAAAAGCGCCTGAGAGCTGCAAGCCACTTTCTGCTCCAGGTGCAGGACCCGCATCTTGATCTGTCTTGACGAACGGTCACATACCACAGTATAACCATAAGGTATTTCATTTAAAAATTCCCACAGCTTTCCCCCGGGAAAGGCGGAGAGGAGAAATGACTCATACATTACGGATGCGAGTCATGTCGGTTGCTACAGGTCTGGAATGTACTCAGATTCACGGTAACGAGAGGAGCAAGAGCCTGAGCAGAATCTCCCGAGTTTCAAATGAGCCTCCAAACTGATGTTCAGCATTGCAGCAGGTGGGATTTAACTGGGTTTACAGCCCCATGTAAACCTTCCCTGCTTGGCAGTAGCAACCTATCTGGAACCCCTAGGAACTGCAGAGCAAATGCCTTCTGTCTGCAGCTAGTTTGCACATTCAACAGCAGGGGAGATGTGCTTAGAAAATCTGAAGGCATGTTCCACACTGGCACACCCAAAATCTCCACCCTCAGCCAGTGGATTAACAGTGCATGCCCAAACATTGGTAGAGGTTCATTTGTTTAAGAGACCCAGCTTTGAATCTGACTATCAGCAATAACATGCTGGCTGTGTTTATAGAACAGTTTGGGATTGAACTGAGAGAAGCTGGGCACAGAATAGGTGACTGCGGAAATAATTATTGAGTAGGCTGAACAGAGCACTATTTACCTACGGATGAGTGTGCCTACCAGTATATTTATCGGTGAGATTATCAGACACTCCAGCATTGCCCTTTACTTCCTACTGTTTCATGTTTAATTCCACAGGCACCTTCATTATATAGTTTCTCAAACTGAGCTGTTACCTCCCCACACCAGGCCACTGTAGGACTTAATTCTAGGTTTACAGTCTCTAATTAGCCAGCAGTAATTTGACATTTACATTAAAAATGCCAAATTCTCTTCCTTTCAGCAGGAAAATATTTGTCTTGTTTCCATGGTGGGAAAGCTATCTAAGAAAGGGCCTGCATTTCAGGGCTTCATGCGCTTCCCAGGGTTTGCTTCATGTTCCCTTTGGGTGTGGAGGATGTTGTCCTTGTGGTTTACAAACCTTACCTGTGACAGACGAGACTCTATAAAAACCCAGTGACATCTATTCGGAACCGAGAGACAACCCCAGTGCCTGTCTGCAGTCATGGAGGGGGTTACAGAAGTGCCTGTGAGTTGCACTGCGTGTACAAGCTGCTTTTGCAAGGCTTTGAGAACAGAAAACTTCATCCACCCTTCTCCAGCAGCTTAGCAAGACTGAGCAGCAAAGAAAGAAGCTCAGTCCTGTAAATCACCTTAAAGGAACTATTCTTATAACCTAGGGGTTGGCAGTGTTTTTGGGCAGAATGCCAAAAACACCCAGAACCTCGACTTGTAAGATGCTGGAGTGCCAGGCGCAGATGGTGGGGGAGTCACGAGGGGCCTGATCCTTGTTGAGGCAGTGCACTCCTAGCCCCAGCCCCAGCCCCAGCCCCAGCCCCTTCCTTGCCATCCACCTTGATGCATGAGTGCCAAGCAAAATGCCTTTGCATGCTGCTCTCTGGCACCCATACTGAGGGTTGTCTACCCTTGTTATAACCTGTTTCCTTTGGCTGGTACCCAGGAGAGCATCTTTCATTCACGTATCTCAACATATAATCCAGTCCAGGTATCTTTGGCTCTATGGGATTTCAGTCTGAGTCTGAAATAACAGATGGGTCTTTGTAGTAGAAAAGCAAATGGACTGTCTCTCCCACTGCGCATTAGCACATAGGGCACCAGGGGTTGCGTGCACTTGGCACAGTCTTTTTAACAGGGTGTCCAGTTGGATACATTGTTGACACGGACATTTCTTTGTGGGAATGAGCAATCCCTCTCCTTTCAGTTAATGGGGGAACACCCACCAGTACTGCTGAAGAGCAAAATGTGCTCTCTGCTACTCTGTGCACCCTAGTGACACCAGCAGGGCTTACACGGGTCTGACTGAACACATCCCTACCCGCTGGCACCATGTGGGGGGTGCACGCAGGTGCATGTGCACCCCGTGAAAATGGCAGTGCACCCCCTGCAAGAAGACGCTGTTGGCCTGCAGGTGGTTGCCACTTGCCACCCCACCGCCGGTCTGTGCGCAGTCTGTGATCACTGCTGGCTGCTGCCGTCAGTGTCTGTGGGTGGTCACCGACCGCTGGTCGGCACTTGCCACCCCCCTCTGCCCCGCTGCCAACAGTGCCATGGCTGCCTGCAGGAGCTCCCCACTTACTGCCACCACACTCCCACCACCAATAATGCTGCCACCTGCGGGAGCTCGCCGTGCCCCCACAGTCTCCGGGGGCACGTGGCGTTTATGTCCCTACCTCTCAAAGAATATTCTTTATATGGGATGGTTTCAGAGATAAGAACTGAGGCATAACTCTACAAGAGAGTGGGCTGCCATTACTTAGCATATGCTCTTAGACACCAGTGTGCACACACACATCACATGTGCATATCTTACAGATCACGATGTGCATGCACCAGCTTGGAGACATGTACCAGAGGCATAAAAAAGACGCCAGGATCCTGGGGCAGCGGGATACATGAGGACAGAAGCAACTTTTAGTGGCTGCCATACTGCACGTGTGATTGTGTCCACAGCAACAGCTGGTATTTTCCTAACCTCCCCACAAGAAGTTTGTGTGTGGGGAGGCTGCCCCAGTCACCCTGCCCTAGATACGCTACTGGCACATGCCATCTATCTATTTATGGTTATAAGTATTTGCTGCCTTCTTTCTGGCTAA